ACCTGTTGTTTGATTCTCGTACGTCGTAACTTGATCCTCTCAAGAGAGGGCTTGGAATAAAATTGGTGCCAAAAACATGTAAAGACGTACTTACCTTTTACCTTTCAAAATACGACCAAAAAAGTTAAATATAGATAATTTTTCAACCACAGTACAATTAAGCCGTCGAATGGTGCGAATGCAAGCGCAAGTCCAAAAAGATGCTTTTGATAATGCCTTCAATTCATGAATGATTAGATAGTTGCTTATTCTAGATTTGGTGTGCGGCGTGCAGTTACACTATTTGCACAGATTGCATAATTCGCAAAACTGTTGAAAATATTTGTTTTGAATGATTTAAACATATTTATGAACGTAAATATATAATATTTATGATACAATAAAACTTATTTTATAAAAAGCAATTTCATCTTTGAAGTTATTTAAATTTGCATTTTTTACTTGAAGATTTGAGGGAGAGATCTAAAAGCGGGGAAAACACTAACATTTTTCAATAAATTTCTTAATCCTTATAAGCATTCTGATTCATACTATATCCTATCATTTTCTGCAGCTCCTCAAACATTGTCACCCTTTTTTGTATCTTAGACTGTTTCATCCTTCTTGTTAGAGTTGCTTGAGTTTTTTGGTCCCATACTTTCCTAATTCCTGTCTGAAATCCGTCTCAATATTCGCCTATGCTATTGTTTATCGGAAACTCATGTTTACTTCGAGTGAAAATTTCAAAAATCAGTTCATTTCTGGATTTGTAGTGCAAGTTATGCAAAACACACGGGCATGCACACAGGGCTAGTGGTTATTTATAGATGCATCCGAACGCTCGCGACAAAACAAAATTGAAGGCAATAGAAGGGGAAGGACGCGCTAATTGAGCTAGTGAAAACATAACTATCTGTACGAATCAGGTTATTGCATTAGAACAGGGAAGAAAAGTGTTCTGTTCGGCATTCTCAAAAATAAAAAAAGTTAGTTCTGAGAAAATGAAAATTCCAATGTCTCTTTGAGAGTCCTTCATTAGTGGCTGTAGATGACTTTGTTCTCTAGGTTAGATCTTAATATTTTGGGGAAGATTTGAAGTTTTCAACTTTTCTTTCAGACAAAAACG